TTTCCCACATCTGAGTTATAACGTCTGCTTTGCCTCGTTTGTCACTTATCTCTTCTAATTTTTTTACGAGAGCTTTCTCCTGTTTCTTATCCTGTCCTGACATCGTTATGGCCTGTGTTAAAATTGTTAGTTGCTCTTTTAACGATTTAAAGTCCTCATTTCCGTATTTCTGTCTACACTGCTCTGCCATTTCGACATCCAATTCCTTCTGCATTCTCTGAAAGGAATTCACTTTCACACACCACACCTAGGTATTTTATTGTCACAGGAACCAGTTCAGGAACTCTTTTCCTTATCTCAATCACTCTCAGTGGTCTTATGGTTTGACAGGACGAACAACACTTAGACAAACAACACAAGACTGACCACTTCACCTCATTCACGCGAAACTCTGACGCCAGAAAAATTCAACAGTGGCTGCTTCCCACAATACAACTTGATTTTAGTTTTTTTTTTTTTTTTAGATGAAATGTGTGTTGACCCCTTTTTTTGTAGGGAAGGTATTTTATAAGTAGTCTGTGACTGTATTTTATTATATTAAAGAACTAATTATAATTTTTATATTATCATTATTATTATTATCATTATTATTATTATCATTATTATTATTATCATTATTTATCGTTGGTTTATCGATTGTCTGCCTTCACATATTAGCGCTTTTACGTTTTTATCCCACCCAGTCCCGCACTTACTTAATGAACTTCCAATTTTTAAGTAAGTTTAAATTAACACTGTTTTCAGTTAGACACCAACCTAACAAGTTTACAGTTCAACTTAGTCTCAGAGTTACAGGGATGACGGCGAATAAATGATTTATCCTACAACCCCACCCCCTCTGGTCCAGAGACCCGTCGATCTCTGGTGGGCTCGACTACTGCGTGATTTATCTGGGACTGGTTTTATTACTTATTCACTATCGCGGATCCGAACCTACAACATAATAATCCTCTATTTAATGGGAGTCCAACACACTGAGAAATTTGCCTATAAAAAGTCCAATCACAGATTTTGTTTAAACAGGTATCTGCTTACCTTTGTTTGAAGAGTTGTGGCCACAGGTCAGTGTTCTGGACTCTGCTGTCCCTTCCTGTCCGTATCAAACCAATCTCGGTGGAACCTCCAAATTGTTGGCGTAAATCGACTCACTCTATCCGCCCCAAAGTTCGTTGTTTGGTTTTACTGTGGATCAAGGAAGTACAGACACTGAAACATGACAGACGCGCTCTCTTTAAATTCAATAATCAAATTTAATAAATTAAATGATTAACAGTCACAGATTACTTTTGTATTTGATTAAATGTTAGTTAAAGTACAAAATAAAACATTGAATGCGCATTCAATGGAGACAAACGATACAACCTGTAAGAGTGATCTGGAGTCAGCCTTTGCTCTGCGTTGTCTGCTGAAAGAGGAAGTGCTGCTCACCTATAGTCTAAATTAGGGCGGTGCTTGGTCCAGGCTTCTAGAATGTTCACTTGCTCAACGTGTATAGGGCAGTGACTCACTCTAGCTTCTAGAATATTCACTTGCTCAACGTGTATTGTGCAAAGTCCGGTTGGGTGGGTGCTGTCACAAATAAGAAACAGGAAGTATACTAGTCACACTTTAAGCTTTAGAAATTGTACAAGCAGAAACAGATTTTATTTTACAACACTAAGCTGAAGCCTATACTCTCCAAAAAGAACCTCGAGACAGTGATCCACGCCTTCATAACATCTAGGCTTGATTACTGCAATTCACTTCTGTTTGGAATCAGTCAGTCCTCCATTGCTCGTCTACAACTGGTCCAAAATGCTGCAGCCCGATTTTTAACTGGTACAGGCTATAGAGAGCACATCACGCCAGTTTTGGCCTCCCTGCACTGGCTACCCATTCACCTTCGGATCCGTTTCAAAATTCTCATGTATGTTTTTAAATCACTGAACAGTTCCGCCCCATCCTATCTCACTGATCTTCTGCAGCCATATGTCCCACCGCGCTCTCTGAGGTCAGCAGACCAGATGCTGACCTCAGTCCCAGAAACCCGTCGTAAGCTCAGAGGTGACAGGGCTTTCTCTGTTGCAGGTCCACGACTGTGGAATGAGTTGCCACTGAGTGTCCGGCAGGCTCCCACACTCTCAGTCTTTAAGTCTCGCTTGAAGACCCACTTCTATTCGCTTGCCTTTAACACGGTGTGATTTGTTTTGGTCCGGTCTGTTCTCTACTCTGTTGGCCATTTTAGTTAGCTTCTGCTGCTATTTGTATCTGTATTTCTATTTTATGTTTTCCTGTCTGCTGTGCATGTTTGGTTCTTTTGTACAGCACTTTGGTTGGCCTTGTTGCTGTTTTAAGTGCTATATAAATAAATTGGTATGGTATGGTATGGTAAAATAACAATATCAATTTCAAATTACTTTTTAACATAAAAAATATATATATATACATATATATTAATTGACTGTGTTTAAGGCAAACGTATACTTGTGCACAACACATGCATGTTGCTCTTTACATCCAAATTAAAACCATTTTTCTGGATGAGATGAGAGCTGGAACTTTACAGCAACGACCTGCCACGATCGACGCTCATCTTCTGCTGGAAGTTGCAGCGTCTTGTCGGCGATTTTTACAAAAACACTCAAATGTAAAAGAGATGCACCACCTGAGCTAATATCGAATCAAAGCATAGAGATGGAGGTAAAAGATAAATGATAAATGTTGGTCATATGGACAGTTTCTTTTTTATGGAAAGACGTTTCACCCTTTATCCAGAGGGCTTCATCAGTCTGAGGAGTCCCAAGTAAACTGTTTCCCCACTAAGCAGTACACTCCTTTAGTGGACCAACCAGTTTGCTGGTGATAAGATGGTTTCTGGGGGCTGTCCTGTCCCCCGTCTACTCCTTCCAGGCAGGCAGCCACAGCCAAAGTGGTTCAAGACATCAAAGCTCATGCTCAGTCATCCAGGTACAAAATCCAACAGTGGTCAGTCAGGTCATCTGGACAGTTTCTTTTTTGTGGAAAGATGTTTCGCCTTCTATCCGGAGGGCTTCATCAGTCATAAGTCAGGAATGGTCATATTTATTGTCAACACCAATAAAAATAAAAACAACAAAAACAAACGAGTGGCTGGTTTTTCACCATGAGACCTTCTAAAGGCTGAAACGTGCATCTGCAATAAGACACGCACACTCGTATTTATTAAAGATACTTGTTTTTATTTACATTATATACGACAGAAGAAGTGCTCTAAACACCAGTCAGAAACCAACAGCTGTCATCAGTCACTCCAAAAATACAAGAATAATCTGGTCCCAACTGCAGGTCCATGTCCAACAAAAG